AATTTAAGCGGATTCTAAACAATTGTTTATAGTTCCATTATATTGACTAAGCGGCGGCATGGGTTGCTCATTGAGATGTATAAATACGCAGCCACACAGGGTCTGAGTGGGAACGTTTAATCCGTAGTATGTATGGAGAATACAAAACTCTGTGCGCGTTAAAAAACAGCAACAACACTGTCTAATGGATTCATCCTGTCTTGATAAAAGTATTTAAAAATGTTATGTAATTCACGATTTCAAATTTGAAACTGGTATATACTTTATCTCTTATACTCCTATGCTAAATTCCAAAGGAATATATGTGTACTATATCTTCCGTTCAAGATTATAGTTCGTGTAACTTTATGTGACTTTTAGATTACCCGAGATGCGAGGACGGTATAAAATCATGGTCACTTGCAGAATGACTGTGCCAATCTATAAGTATGATGGGCAATCGCCATTTGTTTCAATAAAATACATTTTACCAAAACATGGCCAGTACATATCGACATTAATTCTCTAATATACTTTTATGTTTGAGATAGCTGTTAGTACATTTTTTTAAATTATACCAAAGTATTGAAAAAATGACAAAAGAAATACAAGTGTGTTACTACTGACAACACCATATACTAGCTGCGTCGGTAAATGTCATTTTCACAAGTTTCGGCTCAGTTTATATGAACACACACAAAAACATAAATGTACAAAAATAAACATTTTTACCTATGTTTCTGATTCGGAAACAGTGAGTGTTAGAAAGAAATACTCAGATGTTTCACAATCATTTATATAAGTTTTACTGCAGTAAAACATTACATATCTGGCATGAATGTGAAGTTGTGAAAAAACCTACATACAAATGCGTCAAAAGATTTTAGTGTCTGTTACTTTTTCCTCATTTCGGAGTTAATGACCAAATATCTTTAACCATGGCGTGGTTAACCTTCATACAAAATTTTGAATTATATACATCAAAATAGTATTAAAATACAAATATAAAACTATTTCAGAGAAAAGTTATTCATAAGGAGGAATGTATCAATTTGAATCAAATATGTAAGACAGTACTTAATCTTACCTAAGCAATATCTAGCCATGTTATTCAATAACAATTACAGGTTTCTTTGGAATCGATACACGATGCTTGTAGTTGTTGTCATAGTAACCAGGTGTTAATCGATTTGCCTATTTTTTCCTTTATATATGTATCTATAAATGATATTAATATGTGTTACTTATAAATTAATATGATGATGACCATTTTAATGTCAAGATCGCCTTTCCCATAGGATCAGTGTTTGCTTTAAAAAAAATCTACCGAAAACCACTTCGGCACTTAAATTCAAATTTCATTCGGAAAACTATTTTAGGTATAAATATATAAAGATAAGAAGATACGGTATGATTGCCAATGAGACGACTATCAACCAAAGCCCAAAGGACAACAATGAACAAAACCCACAACATATAGTAAACCGTATAAAAAGCGTCAGTATGACAAAATTTAAAACAATTCAAATGAGAAACTGAACGGCCTGGTGTCTGCTTAAAACAATAACCGAAAAAAAACAAATATGGCAGACAGCAACCAACGAAAACCAACGAATCACAGGCTCTTAGCCATCAAAGGTGTTTATCGCCTTAACTTAACTATTTGTGGGAGGTCATGAACGATGAAAGAGGGAATCATATATACATGATATATGAATTACTCTCTTCTTCTTCTTTATGAAATACAAGTGAGCAAGAAAAAGGTAAATCATTACAAAAAGTTAATAGAATACAGGAATGTAAAAAAAATCACAGATAACAAATTTAATGTGATTATTTGGTGAGTTATTGATCAGCCAGTGATCTAGACTCGACAAAGTATTATTGGAAACTCTACGCATTCGTAACTTAAAAGTGGTCTATTATTAGCACGTGCCAAATCTTTGTTAAATACATACTTCATATTAAAAAAATAAATCTGAATGGCTAAGTTTTGCTATAAAACATGTGTACATGAACTTCATTTTAAAAGAAAATCTTTTATCTTATTAAAATCTTCAGAAATGTAGTTGCTGTTGAATTATTGTCTTCCAGTACTCCGATGCGCAACGAGACATTTCTTTCGAACTTCGGTAACCGCACAGCGGAAGTGCGAGGAAAAACTGTGATAAAAGAAAAAGTAAACAATCGTGGAAAGTAGAAAGTGTAAATTGATTTTGAAAAAAACCAAATCATTTAACAACAGTTATGATAAAGTTTAGTTAACAAATGCAAACTCATGGAAAATATAAAAATAAAACATTGTTTTTCAAGGTAACGATCGGTAAACTTCGTCACCAAAACATATAGGTTAATTAGCAGCCAAAATTTTCCATCAACATTCACCGAATAAAAATATTTCTTGTCGATTATATGTTATGTGTTCGTAATAAATGTCAAAAAAAAGAAACGTGCATACATGACTTAGTTTAGTATATATGTATGTATTCATTGTTTCAATAACTTCTATATAATCACCAGAAACTCGTTTCATATATATGACTTTATTTCTGCTGAGCTTGTATTTGTCATGTTCTTGGAGATTCATGGTCTTTGTCAGAAATATCATCACACGAACTTTCGACATTAAATTAACAAAAAAAATAATAAAAAAAAATAGTTGGTTCATTTATGTATTTTCTTTTCGATTGAATATGGACATAAACCTGTGCCTGATTCAACAATGAAAAATGTTAGTGTTTGTTTTTGGTTATTTTTTTTATATACACAAATCTCAAAATACAAACCGTAGAAAATAAAAACAAATAACATGAAACAAACAAACAAACAAACAAACAAAAACTGAAATAAAAAAAGAACATTATGAAAAAAGAACTATCTCAAATATGTAAATAACGGGTTCAGGGATATTATTAAAATCACAGATACCAAAGTTGGAAAATGTTGGGAGTTCTTGATCAGCCAATGATCAAAACTCTACAAAACATCTTTCGAAAATCTTAAAATTCGTAAGATTGAATGCTGTACATTAAGTATTTTGTTAAAACAGCAAGGAGTGCAATAAAGAATTTACGAATGTTAAAAAATAAAGTAAAATCGTAAGGTTCAAATTTATACATGTAAGCACGTCCATAAAACTTTGTCATGTGTGGCGGTGCAGGTTAATTGAGAGATATTCTTGTCGCTCTCTCCTATCGGATGCACAAATAAAATTACTTGACCACCGTAACTTATATAATTAATCTTTCCCGATCATTATTCTCGATATACCGAAAAACAGCCGTGATATAGGGTAAAAACACAAACATAAAACTAAAGGGGTTTGCAACACAATGAAAAAAAAACCAATAAAGATTAGTTGAATGACTAAATTAAGCAAGAAATAGCAATTTGAAGCACTATAGGTCAACATAAATTTGCCATGTTCAAAACAAAGCACAACGAACATGAACAAGATTAACTGGTTTTCCAGGGCAAAACACTTGCCTGAACTGCCAGACCAAGAATTAACCAATTTTTTTTTTAAATTGATTTAAAGATAATTGCTTATGAAGCTAATATGGCAGCTCATTCCAAAGTTTAGCCCATGTATAACTAAAAGATTGAAGGTCATGTCGTTGCTCTATCTTGCGGAAGTTATGCTGTATTCTGGTATTTTTTACCTACAGCTATCGCCTGAAATTTTCTGGATTAGCTATCGTTCTATTTAACTGCATTAAGAACCAATTACTAAGGATTGTGTATCAATTCATTTGTCTATGGGTTATCTGCGTATGAAAAAGTGTTATCGTCTGCATAATATTATATATGCGAGTTGAATTTAATGAATAAGTTGGAAAGTATCATTTAAAAAGATATTAAATAATGCCGGTCCCAGTATAGATCCATGCGGCACTTCTTTAAACACTGATTGCCAACTACTGAAATTATAACCTACTTTAACAACGCTGTTTTGAATATCTTTTCATAAGATTATAGGAGGATTTAATTGTTTTATAAGGAGTTTTGGGGGAAGGGAATCAAAAGACTTAGACATCAAGTTGAGTTTCTATAGACCTCTAGCTCAATTTCTTTTTGGAAACTGCCATGGGCAATATACTTACTGGTCTAAGTTGTTAACCCTTTCATTTGATGGGCACTTTATCTACAGTGTTTGATTTTTTATTTAGAGGTATTACTTTTGCTTCCTTTAGTTTGTCTGGAAAAACCGATGATTTAAATGATTTATCAAGTTCTCAATTGAGAAATTGAACAGGGTAATTCAGATTCAGAAAGTTTTAATAGTTTTGAAGAAATTCCATTTTTTCCAGTTGTCTTTTTTAATTTTAATTTTGTTGATTTATCTTTTTTTACAAACCAAGAATGTACTAGGCTAAAATAAAGTTAGGTTTGTTTTCTTTAATTACCATAATGCTTGGGTAGCCTTCATCAATAATTGTTTCCGTTTTGAGCCGCAATATCTTTGGCAACATGTATAAGAAAAACGTTATTAAATATTTCAGCAACTTCGTTTTGATTAATTTGTTGTCTTCACATTAGATTAGGTCCTTTGAAAATGTGATTCTTTAATGGTTATGAATGGCTTGATTGTTGGTCAAGAGTCCTCGATGTTTGGTCCTCTTTACATTTTCCTGTGAAATAATTCCTGATGGATTTCTTTTTTTATTTTTGTAACCAAATTCAAAGTTTTAGATGTTATCTAGAAGATTCCCTCTTTGCTTTGCTTTATTTTTTTTATAATTTTGACATTTATTTTCAGCAAAAATATATGCATTCCTTTATATTTTCTTTCATAAAGTTTGATTCATAAAAAGGGTGGGTTTATTGATGGCTTTCTCATAAGCTGAATTTACATCTGATGTTTCTTCTGTCAAAAATTTATCCTGATATAAATGCTTTAGACATTTTGAAAATTATGAAAGAGATAACCTGTTATCGAAATTTACACTCATTGTTTTAGCACTATAGTATCGGATCCGTAGAATCAATTTAGATTATTTTAATTTCTGAAATTACTTCCGGGACTGAGTGGCCAATGATTTTTTTACACATTGTGAAGTTTTGAATGTCAAAGTTTACATTTACAACTTAACAGCCTTTATGAAGATCATTTATGAAATCAATAAAAGTAAAACATTTTAAAGGATACACGTAAAAATGCACCAATCACATCTTGGGAATGGGAATCTTGTCACTTAGGTCCTCTTCTGAACAGCAGTTTAACCATTAGGAAAGTGGGGTGTCCGTATGTTTGTGCGGAATGAAAAGTATGCAGCCATGTCCAGTCAGAATAGGGACATTAAATCTGTGGTCTGGTGTAAAGAGAGTGCCACACTCTCTCCACGTTAAATACCCTTGCAACAACTCTTTGAGTAGTCCAGATTACTCTGACGTCCAACGGCTGTTTTGCCAGACAAGCTGGGCCGTGGGTCAGACAGCCCCAGCTTGTCTGGCAAAACAGCTGTTGGAGTCAGAGTGTCTGTAGGTGTCCTGTTTCAAGGCAAAATTTCTGTACCTATTCAATATACCCCTCATTTTCCAATGACAGTCCAAATTTCCCCTACCTTCATCCTGGATGGCCTCTATTACAGGACCTACCGATTGTTTTTATTGCTAATTTGTTTTTGTCCTGAACATGCATGAAATATTTGCCACTGGATGTTAAGCAAACATCAATCAATCAATTATCAAGTCAACCTTTAACTCAACCACAACGTTCATGAAGATCTTGGGAGGTATACAAAAGAGTTAAGAAAAAATTACTGTCCAAACTAGGGTCTAATCTTCTAATCTATATCTTAACCACAGTGTAGTCTCTAGTGTGCTTTTGTCGTCTCGTATGTGTTGTTATCTCCCTTGTATTTACTCTTGTTTATTTGTAGGTGGTGCTTTAAAAAAAATTAATTAATAGTAATAAAAAGGATTATAAAGAAGGAAAAAATTAATTGATATAAAAAAAAACAGATAAAAAAATAAATAAAAATAATAATAATAATGGCATCTTAAAAACGGTGAGTTTCTTCAATAAAATCAGCTAATGCCTGAACAATGTTTTCATTGCTAGCTGAATTTACGTCAAGAAGAACGTCCAAATCTAATGTTATATCTCCTTTGATAAAATATATGTTTTGTATCAATTTTCATCTTTCAGTCTCGTTCTTTTCACATTTGAGAAGATATTGTTCCACATCTTCTTTTTTACTACAAAACTCACAATTACTGCTGTTGATATGTTGATAAATTAAAATTGGTATAAATTTAGTTTCAAGTATCCAGTTCTTAAGCTATTAATGATGTTGTATGTATTCTTGTTGGGCTTAACTCACTTTTATTTATGTTTGACTACTTTGTGAAACCTGTGGTAATGTCTCCCTGTGTTACCTTTATCCCATCTTGTTTTTCCATTTTTTGGAAACCGATTCTTTTGCAGCTTTTTTAATATCCTGTTTTGTTACTGATGTATTGTTGAAATCTGTAGATTCTGCTTCTTTTGCAGCTTCCTTAGCCAGTTGGTCAGCTAAATCAATTCCATTGATGTTTGCATGGCCAGGTGTCCAATTTAAGTTAACTGTAATTCCTTGATTTTTTAAATAATTAATTTTACCATTTATTTCATTAATTGATTGGTGATAATTTTCACTTTTCCAATTAAGAGTAAGAATTCCGAGTGCAGATTGGCTGTCTGAAAAAATGGTTAAATTTTATAAATCATGGTCATTTATGTTAATTAAATGATCTAGAACTAGGGACTATAAAAATCAATAATATTCTAGAAATATGACTTGTTCAACTGATTTGGAAAGATCCTCTCATTAATAGGTACTAGCCCCATTCATATTTCAGTCAGGAGTAATACTTATATGAGTCATTTTTATTTACTTGAAGATGCTTGTAATTATATACTTGTATCAGTAAATTTGTAACATTTTATATTTTCTTTTCAAGATTTGAATAATATCCCCTTAATCTTCTCCAAAAATGTACTTATATAAGTAATTTTATTTTACAACCCCTAAAACTCTCAAAATTTTTGGAGGTAAAACATGCCTGAAACAAATTTTCTCTGGTTTGCTAATATTTTTTAATTAGAGTTCAATCTTTCATCCCACTAATTCAACAATGAAATCAATTGCACAAAGATATTTAGTAACTCTACAAGGCCTTCAAAAATTGCTTCCTTGAGGGTTGTAAATGAACAGTATTTTGATGGCAACAGACAAATGAGATTTTCATTGTCCATGAAATTATACTTATATGATTAGTAAAGACATCTGTAAAGGACAGACAATTAAGCCATCTATTAGCATGATTAGAGCAAAGAAGTCGAGAAATTCAAGAAACGAAGAAAGTATAATTTTTTTTGCTTGTATAAGTAAAAAAAATCTGAATGTCTAAGGGATATAACTATACCATTAAAATAATTTACCTGTACATGTACCAGTAAATAAAATACAATTGTATAAGTATTACCCCTGACTGTATTTCTAGGTATTATACCTAAAATCGGGCATCAATTTACAGTGAAGTAAAACCAAATTTCGTAATTCATTATATTGGCTGTCATGGCGTGCATCATGATGCATGGCACAAATATTTATATAAATGGCAACATTTTTCCGTTCAAGACCATTGTTCAAATGAGAACAGAATACAATAATGGTCTCCAAAAATACTCCTTTTTCAACATGTTTATCCAGATGATATCTTAGTCATGGTGTCTTGAAATCCAAAGTTTATATTTTTATCACCAAAAATTGATACCTGCTTTGGGGTATAATATCCATAAACGGGGATAATACCAATTTATGAGGATCTTCCCTAACCTGTTTAAGATCTTTCTACCTTTTGTTGTTGCTGTTGCTATATAAGGTTTAATATATATGATAGCTTTTTTATTCATTTTTACCAGAAGCTTTAAAATCCAATTTCCTTGCAGGTTTATTATGCAGATGACTAAGATTATATTTTATTTTGTTAATCAAACACTTAGCAAGCTTAATATGAAAACTAAGTGAGCACCCTATTTTAGAAATAAAGGACAGAAAAATAAAACTACTTGTTTTATAACTAAAAAATAAAAAAATACAAACAAAATAAAAATTAGGAGATGATTGCCAATGAGACAACTATCCACCAAAGTTCAAATGAAGTGGATGTAAGCAATTATGAGCAACTATACAGCCTTCAACAATGAGAAAAACCCATACCATATAGTCGGCTATAAAAGGCCAGACATGAAAAACATGATACCATTCAATTGGGAAAAATGACAGCCTAATTTATAACAAAACAATTTACGAAAAACAAATATGACAGACATGAACCAACGACAACCACTGAAGTAAAGGCTCCTGACTTTGGACAGGCACTTAAAGAATGTGGCGGGGTTAAACATGTTTGTGAGCGCTCAATATTCACCTTAACCTGGGACAGTGGTGTTACAGCACAACATAAGAAAAAAACTATAAAAATCAGTTGAAAAGGGCTTAACTCATCAGATCAATACAAAGCAGAAAAACATCTACTTGTAACAAAAACAAAAGGGTATTTATACATCCCTAACAACAAAAAAGAAACAAAAATGTTACATGAAAATATAGAATCTCTATTTTTTTTTATTTAGTAAACTGAAAAATGAATGTAAATGAATATACATGAAATACAAGGACAGATATGCCATAATTTTTACTGCTCCAATTTGTTTTTAAATGAACCATTGAATTATCTTTTCAATTATTTTTTTCTCAATTTTACCTGAAACGGATTTTTTTACATTTCATCTTTATTTTTTCAAAACTTATAACTTTGCTAATAATCCCACAGTGAATTTTTTTGATACACATGTATATACATATTTTATTTCAGAAACCACCATTTAACTTGTATATATGATCAAAGAAATCCAAGATGAAGCCATCATTTACTGCTATTGTTTCAGTCATATTTCTGGCTTACATAGCACATTCCATGTGGGTTTTAGTTGGTATATTCTTCCCAACACCATGTAAAGATTCAAAACATTGTATTGCTTCATACATAGATAGGAAACCGGAACCAAAATTAGAAGTAAGTAACTTATTACCACTGCATGTAAAGTATAGCATCATTCGTTGATGACCAATCTGACCCAAAGAAATAGATAACTTTTCAACACAATGGAAGGTGTGACTTAAAACAAGTTATGATAAAACAATACAATTCGATTTTTTATTAAAAAGATTTGTTCAGTTATCTGTGTGAACTTGTGTTTTATCAATTCACATGATGATACCTAAAAGAAGAAAAGGAATGAATTCATCAGACTTTATACTTTAGCCTGGAGTCTTTGTCTAGTCATGTTAAGCTTTATGAATGAAATAAGCAGTGAAAGAAATCTGACTTAGAATTTTAGCACCTGGTTTATCCATGTTTATGTAGAACTTTATCCCCTTATATATCCATTGTTAGGACGAACTTTAGCCCCTTATTTATCCATGTTTACATAGAATTGTAGCAACTTATATATATCCATGTTTATGTAGAATATATCCCTTATTTATACATGTTTATGTAGAATTTTAGCACCTTATTTAATCATGTTTATGAAGAATTTGAGCCCCTTATTTATCAATTTTTATGTATTACAGATCAAAGTTTATATATCTACAAGAGGAATGGGAGCAAAGGAATCTGATTTAAAACTTGTTTGGATAAATACTACATTTAATGTCCGTGACACAGTAGAAAAGTAAGTACCTCATTGTATGTGACATAAAGTGTGATATCTATAAAACATTCAATGATCCTTATGATTATTTTATGAATGAAATTTGGTAGAGTGACATAATTAAGGGAAACTCTACATGATTGAAAATTTTATAAGATAAAGATGGTATAGTGTCATGGTGTTAACAAAACCCCTACCTTATTGAAGATTTTGTTATTGTACGGAAAAAACATTTGTTTTCTTACATTTAAATTGATTGATTGATTATTGTTTGCTTTATGTCCAGTGGCAAATACTTCATCCATGTTCAAGACGAGAACAAATCAACAATTTAATCTGTAGGTCCTACAATAGGGGTCCACCAGGATGATGGACGTGAAATTTGGAATGTCACTGGTAATTGAGGATAAATTGGATGGGGATAGAAATTTAGCCTTGCAACAGGCTACCTAAGGACTCCTAAAAAAAGTTGTTGAACGGGTTCTTAACATGCAGAGAACCGCACTACTCTGTCTACACCTGGCATCAGATTTGAAGTCAACATTCTGCCTGGATTTGACTGTGAATTTGTACATCCCACATTGCCAAATAGACACACCACTTTTACAAGGGTTTTACTGCAAGTGGCAAGAACACCAAAGAATGGCCATATTTCTATATCCCAGTCAACCTGGGGCTTCTTGCATTAAAATTTGGAGATGTGGGTAACGTGTTGGGGTAAGTTATGTGTCTAAACTGCACCACTTTATTGGTGAAGGTCTTTAAGTGAAAGATAGTATAGTGAAACCTGTCATAACAGAATCCCTATATGGTTGAAGGTTTTATGAACATATAGTGTCACCCTATATTTTTGAAAATTTTATGAATAAAAGTAAGAAGGTATGGTGACACCTCAGGAAACAAACCCATTATTCTTTTAAAGATTTTTAGCATGAAAAAACATGAAGTAAAAATACTTTTAAAGACAGAGAATAATACAACACAAGGGAAAAACAATGATGAAAATACTCCAAATTACACCCAGGGGTTAAAAAATCCACTAGCCCGACACCCGGGACTACAGCATTCAGTCCTCGGGCAATCAAAACTTGTAACCCGATATGCCCGACGGACTAGTAACAAAAAATTCTTGGCGTTTCCAAAATAGAAAATGGAAAATCCCCTTATCATTATTCTATCTTAGCCAATCAGATTCAACTACGTCATCTGGGATTCCCAGAATTTGAACTGATTTTGTACGTTTTAAAAATAGAACAAATAACTCGGGGTGGATCCCGTACTTTCAATATTGATTTGTCAGTACAGGGGGTATTGTACATTGCTTATGCAACAAGAGAACTATAATGTAAACTTATTATACCTCCTTCTGAATAATTTATTGCAATATAAATGTGAATCCCTTACATGTGCATGACCACATTAAATATTGGTATTACTTCGTTTTAATATAAAAAAAATATAAAATACACAAACTATGGATGGTTGATATTTATTAACATAAATATTTGAGGTCATTTAATTTATTTAAATCATCAATATAGGATTTAAAAACTGAAAACAAATATGAGCATTACATATAACGGTAACCATGCAGCTGATAATTCTTTTACACAAATGCTAAAAATCACTCCAATCCTTTTATATATACATGTATAGCAGTGGTCAAGACTTGTACCATCTCAGGATTTGGTCAACTCATTGTTGCAGAATATTCAATGAATATACAATTATCGACTAATTGAATATATCGTCTAATAGGATAATTTTTTGCTGACATAAGTTTTTGCTGAAATCTACTGTACAACGGATAAAAAGTGTTAAGTTTATAGAATGCATTGTATTATGCAGCAAACTCTGAATTTGTAAGGCATACTCGGGCTAGCAGGTCAGTTTTGATGGGCTAGCAGTTCTTCCAACAGGGCTAGTAAAATCCGGCTACCAATAAGCCCTGGGCTAGTGAGCTGTAAAAAAAATTCTTAACCCCTGACACCAAAAGGAAAGATCAGCTTGACCCCACAGGTAAAAGGTCAATTTGAATAGTACTGATGGAAAATCTATCTCAAATTGAGATTAATATTATCACAAGACTCCTATATCAGAATGAGACTGTTGGTAGGGGATTATAACCCTGAAAGATTTTATTTCTTAATATTTTTAATGAAAAGCAATATATGACTGTATGCAAGAACTTGTATATTTCAGGACAGTAAACTTATCTGTACCATACAAAGTGAGAAACAATGGAACAATGTATCTACATGCCTTTGTAGTACCAAAGGGACAGGATCCATTTAAAACACTATATGGATCTTACAAATACACACCTATAACTACATACTCACTTCCACAGTCAGAGTTCTTCAGTTTGGTGACTGACACAGCAAAGGTAGGGGTAATACAGCACAAACACACCCACACAATACAAATACACACCTATAACTACATACTCACTTCCACAGTCAGAGTTTTTCAGTTTGGTGACTGACACAGCAAAGGTAGGGATAATGAAGGACAAACACACCCACACAATACAAACACACACTATAACTACATACTCACTTCCACAGTCAGAGTTCTTCAGTTTGGGGACTGACACAGCAAAGGTAGGGGTAATACAGCACAAACACACCCACACAATACAAATACACACCTATAACTTCATAATCACTTCCACAGTCAGAGTTCTTCAGTTTGGTGACTGACACAGCAAAGGTAAGAATAACACATGTTGCATACACTCATAAAAAAATTAACTACACCCCTTTAACTACATTTTCACATCAACATTCAGAATTCTTCAGTTTACTGACAAAGCAAAGATAGGTATGATACAGCACAAAGACACCAACACAACACAAAAACACAAACCTATGATTACACACATCAACAGGTCAGAACTCTTCAGTTTACTGACACAGTAATGGTAGAAATGATACAGCACAAAGACACCCACACAATACAAAAACACACACCTATGATTTCAAAGATTTCTTCAGTGAAGTGACTTGCAGGGGCGGACCCAGGATTTTAGGTTAGGGGTATGCAAACTTAAATTTTCGCCAAGCAGAGCGAGGCGAAAATTTGTTTGAGGTAAAATTATCGAAATATTCTTTATTAAGCTGAGGACAACCCATGCTTTGCTAATTTTAGGGGACGCAAGACCGCCACACCCCCGCCTGAATCTGCCCCTGACCTGACACAGCACAAATATATATCTAGAACTACATACTCTCACTAACAGTCACAGTTCTCTAGCTTGATGACTGACACAGAAAAGTTAGGAATTACACATCAAAAATGCACACCCATAACTACATACTCTCTACCATTCAGAGTTCTACATATTGGTGGCTGACACATTATTAGAAAAGGGATGAATGACACAGGATAAATACATACTCAGAATGCACAAACACACACCTTTAACCATATACTTTTTAATTTTTTTGTTTCCTGTTATCAATTTCAGAATAAAACTAGTCCTGATATACCTGTCACTCATCTCAGACAGAGAGTCAAGATATCTGTGATGGCTGATTCAATACAGTTTGACAGGAGAGCAATGCCAATGGAGATTCATAGACTTTTAAAGTAAGTGTATCATTTACATGTTTTTTTTTAAGGGAAACTTTGCAAAAAAAAAATGAAAAATTGATTTTATGTTTATTCCATCGAAATATGTATAAATTTGGTAACAGGGTGCATGATGGACATCCCCTCAAACATTGAAGGGAATAGATTTCCCATTAGGAGTTTTTTGAGAAATTTTTTGCTGTACAAACCTATTTTTCCTGTTTTTAATGTAAATTAAATCTTACTTTTTTACAATTTGACAATACTCTTTATTGCTTAACCAAACATTGTATGGAGAATAAGTTTTCTATTTTTACAAATCAAAGGAATACTGGTAATAGACTCATGACAGAAAGCTAAGTGCAATGAATACCAATATTTTTACTTTGTTTTATAGGCCATCACCAGATGGAGATTATTTGCCAATGTTGTACATTGATCAGTTAGCTTTCCGTACAAAAGACTTAGTGGTGAGTTAGTTTACATCTGTTTATAAATATTGCATTCACCATATGAATAAACCTGGTAAATAGTCTGGTAGCATACTCCTCTTGAGTGCAGGAGGTTATAGCTTTTATCTCTGTCTGGCTCAAATATGTTTGAATTTTCATTTGTTGTCTCCACCAAACTCCCAACATTTTGGACGAAAAAGCAAAAACGTCAGCTTAAAGTTAAGGCAATTCAATGAATTTAAAAGTTTTGATTTTTAAAATCAAGCTTTGAATAACTGTGCCTGTCGTAGGGTAGTTGGACAAATTGTTTATACATGTCATCCATAATTCATTCGTTAAATTTGATCTCTTGATTCACCTTTAAAGATAAGAAAACCAAACTTGGCAGTTTTTCAATTTGCAATTTTTCCAGCAAAAGTCTACAATGTAAAAATGGCTATTACATAACCAGAATTGATTTGTGCTTCACTGAATATGTAGTTAAAAAAAATTGAACATAAATCTGTCTACTTTGTTATATTAAGTCAACACTGGATGTAAAACAGCCCTCAATCTATTGTTATTTGAATGAAATGAGAAATTAGATTCAAACAGCAACCAAGCAACAAAAGGTAAACACAAATTTATATCAATATGTTGGCTTGTGTACCTGCAACAATGATCAAGTGCTCAAAGGCATAGCACATAGCAAGCTCAAAACAGTTATAAGTTTTGAAAAAAAAGTGAATTAAATCAATACAGAGGACAGAAAATAAATGGCAAATGCTGACATGGCCTCTAACTAGGAACTGGTACATGAACATGTGGATGAGTTGAACTGGTACCCAGCCCTCCTTGATTACATTATTTAGTAGATAGATTGATTGATGTTTGCTTTACGAAACATCAGTGTATTATTCAGTAGAAGAGCAAACAAAAACTAGAACAACTATATATATTTTTGTCTTTTTCAGCCAATAAACAGATCTAGTCACACATTACCTCTAACAGTAGTATATGCACCTATATCAGTTGGGAAACTGAGGTTCTGGGAACACATGCAACAAGCAATAGACCAGTTACATAGTTATGGTAATTCTCATAGTAATGTTTTTTTTAAAACAAAATAATTCAGGATCATGAGGCTTCTCTATGCAACATTGAATCATTGATTGATTGATGACTGCTTAATTTCCACTGCCAAGTCTTGCATGCATATTAAGGAAGAGAAAAATTGACTATAATATGCAGATGTAATGTTTGAAATGTTCAGGTCAGATATATGGGATCTTGCAATTTTGTTTAAGATCCTTTAATATAATACAATAAAAGTTTGGAGGACATTTAAAAATATTCAATTTTTACATTTTTTTTTTAATTTTAAGTACTTTCACTTAAACTTGACTGAGACTACATTTACAAAGAAGGACTAGAACATTCTTGATAGTCTGAGATCTGTAATCTTAAAAATAGTTTTCAATCTTCTTTAATTAATACTTTATATTTCTTGCAGTCCATCAATGGGTAAATTCCTGTGAAATTTTTCTTTTTTTTCCATTTTTTTTTATCTGGTTATTTAATAAATCCTAAAGTACCCAACCAAATTTGATGTCAACTAAAGTTTATTTGTAAAAATGGGAATAATTTATAGGCTAAAAAAAGGAGGAAATATTTTGTGTTCAAGGAAATGAATGACTGTCATATTAATAGAATTTCACATGATATAGTGTAATTTTCTGTCTATTGTTTATTTTCAGGATTTTCAGAGAAAGATTCAGATGAACTGAAGGGGATTTTTGTTGACACAAATTTTTATTTTTTGATGTTAACATTTGCTGTATCTGCATTTCATGTAAGTTTTTTTTTCTTATGAAATGAAAATTACTATTCTGCTCTTGCTTGATAGTTATTAATTTTCCAGACATTATCACTACTTTTGAGATAAAAAAAACCCACAAAAACACAGTGCATTGAACACAACATTCTATACATCTTAACCAAGAACATAGCAAGAAATTTGTCAATGAATTATATACTCCAATATGCAAGTAACAAATTGATGTGTATGTGTATAACCATGCTTGTCAAGAAAATTACATAAATTAAATAAATTGTGCATGAATCTAGCAGCTGTTCTAAAAATGATAATGATGTCATTGTTTAAGTAATATTAAGAATTGAAGTTATCTTCCTTTCTCCATAATTGAAGTTGAACCAATTGATTGTACTGCCGTCTAATGCTTAGTGCAATGTAATGTTTTATTATACCCCATGCAACGAGTTGCGGAGGGTATAATGTTTTTGACCCGTCCGTCCGTCAGTCCTGTTTCTTGTCATCGCAACTCCTCTCAAACCACACAACAGAATTTCATGAAACCTTTTTAGATAATAAGGACATACTATGTAGTTGTGCATATTGACAGGAAATTACGATTTAATTTTTTTTCTAGGAGTTACGCCCCTTTAAACATATTTACTTTAATGTACTACTGCAACAGTTTGTCATCGCAACTCCTCTCAAACCACACAACAGAATTTCATGAAACCTTTTCAGATAATAAGGACATACTACGTAGATGTGCATATCGACAGGAAATTACGATTCAATTTTTTTTCCAGGAGTTACGCCCCTTTGAACTTATTTGCCCAATATACTACTGCAACCTTTTGTCATCGCAACTCCTCTCAAACCACACAACAGAATTTCATGAAACCTTTTCAGATAATAAGGACATACTACGTAGATGTGCATCTCGACAGGAAACTACGATTCAATTTTTTTTCCAGGAGTTACGCCCCTTTGAACTTATTTGCCCAATATACTACTGCAACCTTTTGTCATCGCAACTCCTCTCAAACCACACAACAGAATTTCATGAAACCTTTTCAGATAATAAGGACATACTACATAGATGTGCATATCGACAGGAAATTACGATTCAATTTTTTTTCCAGGAGTTACGCCCCTTTGAACTTATTTGCCCAATATACTACTGCAACCTTTTGTCATCGCAACTCCTCTCAAACCACACAACAGAATTTCATGAAACCTTTTCAGATAATAAGGGCATACTACCTAGATGTGCATATTGACAGGAAATTACGAATCAATTTTTTTTCCAGGAGTTACGCCCCTTTGAACTTATTTGCCCAATATACTACTGCAACCTTTTGTCATCGCAACTCCTCTCAAACCACACAACAGAATTTCATGAAACCTTTTCAGATAATAAGGACATACTACGTAGATGTGCATATCGACAGGAAATTACGATTCAATTTTTTTTCCAGGAGTTACACCCCTTTGAACTTATTTGCCCAATATACTACTGCAACCTTTTGTCATCGCAACGAGTTGCGGAGGGTATAATGTTTTTGACCCGTCCGTCCGTTAGTCCTGTTTCTTGTCATCGCAACTCCTCTCAAACCACACAACAGAATTTCATGAAACTGTGTAGATAATAAGGACATACTATGTAGATGTGCATATTGACAGGAAATTATGATTCAATTTTTTTTTCTGATACAATTTCTTTTTCTTACACTTATTTTATTTCTCCAATGACAATGTGGGGACGTGGGGTATGTGAGCGTGCTCACTAAGGTTCTTTCATTTTGCATTGCAAGATGAATGCAACCCTTACCCTTCAGTGCTCACAAGCACTTTGATTTTTATTAAGTATCTCCTTAGTGCACACACAAATTTACTTTCATTTGACCCTGTACTCATTCTTATTATATTAAGTGCCGAAAAAAAATCAGAATACATTTCTGTATGTATGTAGCAGAAATTGAAAGAGGCCAGTTTTCTCAGTAAGTAGAGAATTGGAGTTTCTAAGGGTTATGCCCCTCTTTATAGAGAAATATCCTGGTATATTATCATCTATTGAAATATTTATATCATGTATGTTGATGTGCAGACTAAGGTCATAGTCTTATAACCGTGCAACAGTTTACTTGTTTTAATTTCTCATTTCAGTTACTATTTGATTTTCTGGCCTTTAAGAATGACATTAGCTACTGGAGACAAAGAAAAACCATGGTGGGTTTGTCTACAAGGGCAGGTAAGCAGATTTCATAACGAGGCTAAGATTAATTTATTTTCCAGTTCAACTGAAATTTAAAAAAAAACTTTTGTTTATCAAGATTTGACATTGTATAAATACAGGAATGGGGTGAAGATCTTTTCTTGGCTTCTATGAAAGGGAATGATTTTTATACTTGGTCTGCAGCTTGATAATGTTGAGTTGTAGCTTGTAAGCAATTTTTAAATTGCAGCTACTTCCTGTTTGTCAATAGTATGAAATCAATAGACCACTTTGGAGTTCACCAGAAAAGACCGTCAATTATGTGCGCCTTTATGGTGTCATTTACCATATAGAGGGATCGCCTGTATCCCTGCACTATTAAAGTTCATGAAGTCTTTACAATCGTCATTATGCAGGATAAACTAGAAATAATATTTATTATACCCCCGCTTTAAAAAAGTGGGGGTATACTGTTTTACCTCTGTCTGTCTGTCCATCCGTCAGTCTGTCCGTCCCTCCCATGAATATTTTTCGTTTCATCTTTCTCAGGAACTACATTACAAGGATTTCTGAAATTTGGTTTCAGAGTTAATATGAGTCAGCTATACTGTGTGATGCGTTTTCAGATTCATCAGTCAACAACTTCCTGTTTACCTTATACTTTTGGCAGGGTGGGGGTATCATTAGTGAGCAGTAGCTCACAGATTCACTTGTTCTGTAGGTACTTAATCACAATTCCCTAATGACAGCAGGGGCGGATCCAGGATTTTGGAAAGGGGGGGCGTAGTATTATAGTTGGCCGAGCGGAGCGAGGCGAAAAATTTTTTGGACCTTTTTTTGGCTAAAAAACATAAAATAAGTGTAAAATGCATTTTATAGTTAAAGTGTAGGGGTTGGACATTTTTGGTGCCGTATTCTCCATTAATTGTCTATTATAAAATGATTGGATGGATCCAAAGCTATGTACTAATTAATATATTTGATGTGGGATTTGTCAGTAAAAAATGGACATGAAAAATTCTCGTTTGTTGTATGGTTAGTTAGCATAACCTCACAGATTTCTTGTTGTAAACAAGATATACGGCTATTCAATGAAATTTACAATACGACCGACACGAAGAAAGACAAACAAGCAATTTTTTATCCAAATGTTTGGTTGAAATGTTTCAACCAACAAAGGAAGTGAGGGGTTCCAAATCAACCAAAGGCTACGAATGAGTCGGAAATGACAATGAAGTTGTGAATGACGGTTGACACATGGAGACATATAGGCCACACCCAGCAGGCATGTTGCAGTCGGGCCTTGAAAAAAGTATTCAGTATATCAGTTCGGCGAAACAGACATTCCGGTCAGATATGGGATTCACATGCAACCCTCCAAAAATAAATTACGCCCGTTTTTTATTCATCATGTTCATTTAATGCTAAATAATTTTGTTGAAAATATTTTTTTCTAATTGCAAAAAAGTGGACAGGATTATTGTTTTCAATCCAGATACGGCCAGTATTTTTGTTTAAGGCAAAAATCAGGGTCAGAATTTTGTCTCTAAAATATCTCAGACTGCCCCCTCAAATCAAATGGTCCGTACCTTAGACTTTAAATCTATATCTAGAGCTTACTGACTGGGGATCACTATTCAGCTATATTATTAATGGGCTGGGACGTGTGGGGTTAAACATGTTTTCGTAGGTAAATAATATTGCTGTGGAAATTTTTTTTTCATGAGAGTGTAATAGAGTATTACTTTCTGTTGGGTGGAATTATGAAATAGAAGTCAATACGTTCTTGCTCGATACTTTGTCGCTTTGAAGGCGTCATGCTTGTCATCCTCAGCCTAAGCAATGTGTTACTGTAATTTGAATTTCAAAATGACTGAGTGACGTTTTTTTCGACGTACTGGTCAACTCCACCGTAGCGAATCACATGACTTTGACATAATCAATAATATATTACAGTAAATACGAGCGAAAAATATCTTTATAAGTAAAGAATTGTCGCATAAAAATTAAATACACTGGAAATGGCAAAGTTCGCGAAGTCTAGTCTGATTAATCATTTTACAAAAAAAAAAAAAAAGTGCAGGCAAAGGGGGGGCGTACGCCCTCTACGCCCCCCTCTGGATCCGCCACTGGACAGCAGTGCTGATTATCAATTATTAGAATTTAATTTGCCGAATTATTCGTGCAATATAGCATAATATATTTTTCAATTGCTCGCTCAACATGTGAAGGAAGAGACGATACCCCTAAACGCACTAATGATGTTCACTAAAATCAAAGGTTTTGACAGAAACTCAAAGTGGTCTATTGCATTGGTCTTGTTTTTCTTTGTGTTGAGATTGATGTCACTAATTGTATATCTCATCCCCTCTGTACAATTCAATTATTTGGAATAATTGTGTATTTTGACTATTATACTACTTTATCTCATTAAAAATGTATATCATTTGTGAGATAAATGTAAAGGCTGTATTACATTTTTATCTTTTTGTATATTTCAGTTGTATGGAGATGTGTGTCAACTGTTATTATATTTTTCTACCTTTGTGATCAGGAAACCAGTTTGTTGGTACTTATACCAACTGGAATTGGTGCTTTGATAGAGGTATGTGTTAATGCAATCAAAAACCAGTTTATTGGTACTGATACCAACTGAAATTGGTGCTTTCATAGAGGTATGTGTTAATGTGATCAAAAACCAGTTTATTGGTACTGATACCAACTGGAATTCATGCTTTCATAGAGGTAAGTTTTTATTTGATGAGGGAACCAATTTGTTTAGTCCTATTTGAGGTATAGTTTTTGTTTTGCCTGGACAAAGTTTCAAAGAAAAGACTGCTGTTTTCCCGTCTATTAGTTTGTCCAACAAATATTTTTGTCACACTTTTCTCGGGAACCACTCAACAAAATCTTTTTTTGATGCAATGTAACAGCAGTACACTTTTTGGATATGTTGGACTTCCTGTTTTCCAATACTCTGAATTATGAGTGGGTGGTATGTTTAGGATACCAACCCCTTCATTCTTGTTAAAGTTTGTGATTAGGTCAGTGTTGTAATGAAAAACCATTAATGGTGAGTCAATGGTATTTGGTATGCAGATGCATTGTTCTTACTCTTTTTTGGGGGCGGCTTTCCTGGTGTGGAACTTGCACTGTGCAGTTGCATTAACATTTACATGAGTTTTCAGTGAAGATCATTTGACCCAGTTTCCTCAGTTATCAAATTTGAAACTTTTTACAGCTTATATATGACATATATTATAGTTTAGCCATTTAAATTTCAACATTTGCATTACACCTCAAACACTGGAACACATCTGACTGCATCCAAACAGCATACTAGAAGAAATCCTTTTCATAAATTTGTCCATCTGGATCTTTTTGACATTTTAATTAATTTTTTTATAAGAAAGTATTTTTAGGGAATTACTGTATTGTATTTTAATCTTTGCAAATGTCAGTTATTGATTTTACTGTTGCAAATGAGTTCTCCAGCAATGCCCCAGCATAGCCAAATGTATGATATTTATGCCTGTAAAATCTACAATTGATGTTAGCAAGTATAAGAATATATTATGGTTCTATCTGTTTTAATGAATTGTAAGACAAATAGGAATGTTGCCTGCAGCTGGACAGAGAATTCTTGAAGATTTTAACCTCTTCAAAATATGACATTGTCCAGTCAAAATTTCTTTACAGACAAATTGCACTACAATAGAAATATTTGTTTTTATTTATATTCCAGTAATAATGTGTCATTCTGTTCTATGATGAAAACCGGAAAGAAATTTTTTGTATGTATAGGATAAGAAATTATAACATTCTTGTTTCTTTTGTAGGGATGGAAAGTAAAGAAAGCTTTTAAAGTTTCTGTTAGATTTGAAAATGGAAGACCTAAATTTGATGTAAGCTATTTTATAATTGAAAAGAAGTGTTATGGTGTATTCATTAATGACAAAAAATCCAAACATTCTAGTGGGTAACTAATCAGGAAGTATTTTTATATGACTCTCCAGAAGTGTTGAATATGCCATGATGAATAAAAAAATATTATCTTGATCTTATATATTCAAGATCGGGATTTAGAAACAGTTAGCTTTTTAAAATATATATGTACTTAAAAGGAAAAATATGCACTTAAAAGGAAAATTCAGTAAATTATATGTGTTTTCATGTATTTTGAAAAAAATTAAAAAAATAGGAAGAACAAATCCTTCAAATCACATGATATAATAAGAATGTCAATAAACAGTACAATTGTATATTGTGAATTAAGGGCTGTTCCTGGAAAAGTACACATGGGATTCAATCATCCATGGAAATTTATATTCAAGTGCCTTCAAAGACCAACAATAACATTTTAGAACACCCTTAAATACAGTTGTTAAACAATGAAAAGCACAAAGCCAGCTTACTGTGTATTCTTTTATTTTCGTGGATGGAGGAAAACACATTTTCGTGGATTTTGATTTCGTGGTTTTGCCAAAGTTGGCAAACAAGCATATAGAAAATTTGTAATTCGTGGAACATTTAAATTCATTGTTCACCTGTACCCACAAAATCCACAAAAAATGGTAAAGCATGAATAATAATGAATCAACAGTATCCATTTATAAATACTTGTTTTTTCAGTAATAAAAATTAATCTTTGCAGCTTTGAATATTGAGTTTAAAAGTTACATTTTAGATTGGTTCAACATCAGACAAAGAAAAAGAAACAGAAGCATTTGATTCTCTAGTAAGACATTGTACAATAACAGAACAATTCAGATATTGTTTTGTGTTCAATAATTGTAGCATTTTAAAATTATCTGATTGGTACAGACATCTTTTACAAGGATGTTGAGTCTGTACAATAGAATTTATAAGTACAAGAAGTCAAAACTTTAAGAATGTCAGAGTCACTGTATTGACTTTCAGTTATGTTGGTTTAAAAACATGGGTGTCAGTTAAAGAATTAATCTTTAGGTTGAGGAGACCATTTTAGGGCATGATGACTACCAGTTAATACAATAACATGATATAGACCAGCAGCACCAGCCAAAGTGCCACATTCATACAGTTTAAATTGTACATGTTAAAAAGAGCCGTGTTTATTGGTGAAAATATAAAAGTAACATAACTAAAGACATTAAACATGAAATACTATTATTTTATGCAGTTATCTTTTTTATTACATTTGTACTACAAAAACTGGTATAAGACACAAAACACTATAAAAACACAAATTATAAATAAACACTAACCAAATTAGACAAATCTTTTGCAATAACACAGGTGTACAAACAAAATGAATATAAACAAACTCAAAAAGTAAAATCTTTGGTCAATATGAATTCTCATCGAAACTGGGTATCGAATTAAAAACATCCAATTTGAATTTGAGTTTCAAAATATTACATATGAAATTAAAGAAAATGCTGGTTCAAATCTGTACTTTTGTGCATTTCATGTTTCTGAATAAGGCCTTTTACAAAGTTTAATATTTTATAAATACAGCTCTAGGCATAAGAAAACACTTTTATTGTCGAAACAACAATGTGTAGCTTTGATATGACCCAGGTTTTATATTACGACATTGATTAGCTTATTATCTGCTGTACTGTTTTAGCAATGAAGGTATCTCTTTGTTATTATGTCTGGAGCTACTCTTCTGCAGAGATGGTTACATACTCTATTGAAGAGGATGCTTCTTGTGTTGGCCTTGATACAGATTTGAGATGCAAAATAACTTTTTTATGTTTATTAATTTTGATTTTGCATGTTTATCAAATTGTCTACTATAGCATCTTTGAAAGTTTTTAGTTTTACATGAAAATATTAATCTTCATATTGTTTTACAGGCAATGAAGTATTTATCCTTTGTATTGTTGCCATTAGTGATAGGTGGTGCCGTCTACTCTTTATTTTATGTTCCACATAAAAGGTAAATAATAGTACAGTAGTAAAACAATTTTAGCTTTTCTTCACATTTAATTCTGATAATAAATTTAAAAGGGAGATAATCTTACATACCCAGAAGTTATCTGTTCCTATTGAGGTTGAAGTCTTATTATTGACTGCTCCATAGGTTACATGCAAAACAGCTGATCTTTAATTATTTTTTTAAAATAAAATGTGTCATAGAAAAAAAAATTCATAACATACCATGCATATAGTTATGTGATACTGTAATTTAAAGTAAAAAAAAGTGCCACAAGCCACAGAGATTAAAAAATTCTGAAACTTTGAAGTTAAATCTACTACTTTCTACTTTCTGTTTGCTGTTTTCATCAGTTGGCACCACTTCCAGTAAACTTAATATCCTTCCGCATTCATGCTTGTATGTACCAAAAAAGATGCAACATTTTTTTCACATTCACATAGATGTTTTAAATCAGCATAAACTTTTAATCTGACAAACAGAAAACATTGAGTACAGAAATAATTGTGAAAACATTGACTTTTTCATTCCACTTCCATTGGTAACTGGAGTTGTAATACTAAACTGGTATTATCAAGCTCACTAACTTTAGTATAAAAAAAATCTTGTGAAAAAATTAATTTATCTTTCTTTTCTAACAATTAGACATTCATGAACATATCAGTGAAAGCTAGATCATTAAAACAATAAATACCTGTACTAGATTTGTATAGCAGATTTCAATTTTATTGTACTTATGTTTTACATTTATAATGGCAAAGAATTAGTAAAAGAAAATGTAAAGATTGATATAAACCATTAGTATCATTTTAATTATAATTGTATTTTGAATTGGTTTTAATGTTTTTACAGTTGGTATTCCTGGTGTATACAAAGTCTTGTTAATGGTAAGTATACAATGGTATTGTTAGTCAGATAGTTGTAAAGGATTCCAGTGTTAAGCAAGCTGTAATCAATTAATCATAGTTACATTTTGACAAAGTCTGAAAATGTTTTATTGCACTCAAACTACCATAATAGTCATTTTGAATTTGTAAGACCAATTATTGCACTTTAATATTCCAGGAATATGTTAAATAATGTCTGTTTAAATTGAAAGTAATATATAGAATAAACTATACTACTGTTTTTTAGGTGTATATGCCTTTGGATTTTTATTTATGTTGCCACAGTTGTTTGTTAATTATAAAGTAAGTACATGTTTAGACCTGATAAATATGAATTCCTTTACTTTCAGCAAAAAATGTCCAGTGCCCTATAAAGGCATTAAAAGTGTATATGCGTGTTTTCATTTAATTGATACAAAAAAAAACAAGGGGAGGGTTTAACATGTCATTTAGTCCAACCATACATTGTAGTTTGTATTAAACATGGACTATTAGGTCTTTTTTATAATGTCCATATTAGAGTAAGTTTGTATGATAGACTACTAATGGTGGGGCCAACCTTAAAAATATGTTTGTTTGCAGTTTTCCGACTGTACCTTCAGACTGCAGGGTCGGTAGGTAGGAAAAATATTTTATTTTATCAGCCAGAATAAAGTTTAAACAAGCAGTTTAACACAAACCAAGTTTCTTGTGAAGAAAAAAACATTTTAAAACAACAAACACTGAAAACCAACATGAAATGAACAGGCATTTTCAGGTAAACACCTTTTTAACCAAAACTGAAACTCAACATAGTATCATTATACAATTTATGACATAAAATTTTGGTATTATGAAATACTGGAACACTTATAAACAAGAAATGACTAGAATTGTTGTAAAGAAACATATTCACTGACATATATGCATTTTTACCAGAATGTTTTCATGAGTAGAGTATTTTCATCAGAAAAATGTAGATATTAAAAATAATTTAGGAGTGTGTTAAAAAAAATCAACCATTGAATCTTCCTCAATTGAAAAAAAAGACAACTTAAAAAAAATATATTAGACATCTGACTGTTATAAAGGTTATATTTGGAAAGATATGTTGATGCCAGGCTTTAATAATAACAAACAAAAATCTTAAGACTAGCTTTGGGGTGAAATCCATAGCACCCCATTAAAAGTAAATGGTCTGTACTGAAATGTTTTGACTGCATAAAAAAAATCGGAAGCATAGCTCATAACTAAGGACATATATCAATTCAATTCACACAGGCCACACAGTTTGGGTACTGATATTTAATATTGTAAGAGAGAGAATAATTGCAATGAGTGGGACAGCCCCCCTTATCCTAAAGGAGCATACTCATTGCAATGGATGATAGATTTGATACAGAGAGAATATATTTATTTCTCAAGCCAACCTTTCATTTTCTCTACATCTTTGTGTAGTTTGTGTGGCTTCTTATTGATTTAACATTCCAAATGCGTCCTTCCACCGTACAGGCGTGTTTACAGGTATCCATGAAGTCACGGAGGAGTGGTTTCATCTTTGTCGTCTTCACGACGATCTAAAAAAATATGGCATACTTCAGGCTGCTGTCAAATTGTTGAACCACTGATATTGCATTTGGTTCCATAAAGTCAGTCTCAAAAGATTCTGTATCCGATTTGTTTGAGACAGAAACGGTTATCGTGTCGGTTTTATGAATATCCGCTGCATCATCGTCAATGATATCTGACATCAAAGACATCATTCCGTGTGCAATTCTGCCTGAATCAGTATAAACAGTTTACTATGAAACTTTTCTGTGTATTATCTGTCTTAAAATTGACAGAAGACGACAGAATAAAGTACTCCTCCATGACTTCGTGGATACCTGTAAACAATCTCCATGTGCTTTACCATTAAAGGGTCCGATGTACGCTTGACAGGAAGGGAAGAAAAACCGAACTTCAAACATGTAATTGACCTAGACTCGAAATCAATTACGGAAACGACCCGAAATTCTGGATTGAGTCAATAGAAGTATTAAAAATAATTTCTTCAAATTAAAAGCAATAAAATGTTCACAGTCGGGCGGATTTTCGAAGGTCGGTCGGTAAACTGCAAACAAACAATATTTTAATTTAAGCCCGGTCTTGTTGCAAAAGTGCCTCTGCCTCTAAGTCTTCAGCAGAAAGCTAGTCAAAATTCTTTAAAACAAATATAAAGGATGTGTGGAATGGTTGCTAATGAAACAACTATCCACCAAGGAGGATAGGAAAAGGATGAGAACAAAAAAGTTGTCCCAAGTATGATTCATACACAGGTAATTAAATAATAATAGTCCTGTAAGTGTTTGTGAAAGTTTTGATCTGGACATTAGTTGTAGTGCATTTCATGTGAATTTTTAGTTATAAAGGTTATTTTATGGTGTTTTTTTTATGTATAAACTCGTCCTTTCACTCACAAACTTAATAAAGATTTTATTCAGTTTGTGAGTGAATGAGTCGGCCCAGTTTACACATCAATAAACACCTTCAAAATAACCTTTATCACTATAATAACCTGTGGGACAAAATAACCTTTATTACTATATTAACCTGTGAGACAAAATAACCTTTATTACTATATTAACCTGTGAGACAAAATAACCTTTATTACTATATTAACCTGTGAGACAAAATAACCTTTATTACTATATTAACCTGTGAGACAAAATAACCTTTATTACTATATTAACCTGTGAGACAAAATAACCTTTATTACTATATTAACCTGTGAGACAAAAAAACCTTTGTTACTATATTAACCTGTGAGACAAAATAACCTTTGTTACTATATTAACCTGTGAGACAAAATAACCTTTATTACTATATTAACCTGTGAGACAAAATAACCTTTATTACTATATTAACCTGTGAGACAAAATAACCTTTGTTACTATATTAACCTGTGAGACAAAATAACCTTTATTACTATATTAACCTGTGAGACAAAATAACCTTTATTACTATATTAACCTGTGAGACAAAATAACCTTTGTTACTATATTAACCTGTGGGACAAAATAACCTTTATTACTATATTAACCTGTGAGACAAAATAACTTTTATTCCTATATTAACCTGTGAGACAAAATAACTTTTATTACTATACTATCATGTGAGACAAAATAACCTTTATTACTATATTAACCTGTGAGACAAAATAACTGGTAACATTTTTAATTATCGCTTATGTGAAGAAATGTTTCTATTTTAGTTAAAGTCAGTAGCACATCTACCATGGAGAGCCTTTATGTATAAGGTAACTTATAATATAGTTAATCAAATATTTATCTATGATTCCATACATTATATCACAACATTTCTTTTCTTTGATAATGTGCCTTAATGTGATACATTAACTTTATTAATGGTAATCTCATATAATTTTGAAATGTACATACTGTATTCTTTAAAAAAAATTATTTGGCAACAATTTTTTTATGCCTTTGCCATAGCTGAGGGGGCATTAAGTTTTACCCTTGTCCGTCTGTCTGTCTCTACGTCCCAAAATTGGTTTCCGTTCTCTAACTTTAGTTTGCCTCAACCAAATGTTATAAAACTTATACACAATGCTTATTACCACAAAACACAGATCGAGTTTGAATTTGGATGGCGTCACTTTAACATTTCTAGAGTTATGCCCTTTACAAATGGAAAAATTGCTGAATTTTTTGTTTCCATTCTCTAACTTAAGTTTGCCTCAACCAAATGTTATAAATCTTATACACAAAGCTTACTACCACAAAATAACAGATCAAGTTAGAAATTTGGTAGCGTCACTTTTGCCATTCTAGAGTTATGCCCCTTTACAAATGGAAAAATTGCTGAATTTTTCGTTTCCATTCTCTTACCTAAGTTTGCCTCAACCAAATGTTATGAAACTTATACACAATGCTTAATACCACAAAACTCAGATTAAGTATGAATTTGTGTAGCGTCACTTTTACCATTCTTGAGTTATGTTCCTTTGTAACATTATATGCAAGCGGGGGCATCATCTGTGTTCCATGGACACATTCCCCATTTATTGTATTTTTATTTCTTTGTAAAAATTGAATCCAGTGTTAAAAGTATTTACAATATAAGTAAAAAAGGAAAACTCATTCTAATTTTTTGTAAGAGTAAAAGAATGAATAAAAAAGAACCATCAAAGATTTGAAAAGTTATAAATATTTTATCATAATGGATTAAATTATATTTTTGTCTCGATAATGAACTTATGAAAATGTAAGAAGTAAATTGAATAATTTTACATTTCAGGCTTTCAACACATTTATAGATGACATATTTGCATTTATAATCACCATGCCAACAGCTCATAGACTTGCCTGTTTTAGAGATGATCTTGTTTTTGTTATTTATTTATACCAAAGATGGTAAGTTTTACTCTGACAGAAAAATTCATTAATTTAAAAAATCAAGAGTTGCATTATAATCTGTATGAAAGAATCCATGTATGGCAATAGTTTTAAGATAAGGACATTGAGTATATATAGGCCCATTCATTTAAAATATGGTCCCATAATTGAATGATTGTCCAAGCAGCACAAAAAGGCAATAAAGAGGTGATGAACCTGAAATGGATGATATGATATGAAAAAAGGAGGAATGTGTGAGCCACAAAAGGGGGACAAAATGTTGACTGCCACAGAAAATTGAGGGATATGGTGGTAGGGCTAGAAAATTAAGCATAAGCTTTGTCCCAATAAACCAACTCTTATGGAATCATGCTAGAGTTTTCTGTTGCTCATGGTTGAAGTCTAGCACTGTTCTACAAACACTGGCAATCAGTAATGTTCCTTCCAAAAGTCTTTTGGTTATTTGATGCATCCTGCACAAGCACATTCACCTCTTGTTGGGATGGATAAGTTACCAAGGTGGGTGTCCCAACCCTCAGTAGGAGATAGTGGTTTCAAATTGTATACCCCAGAGTTTGATTCTAAGGGCCAGTCTCTTGATAGCATAATGTTGTGTAAGAATCTCTAGAAACCATCTTTTTAAAATACTTCATTGCAAAAAGAAAAACTGTCAATAGTTAACTACCCGTTAAATGTATTTGTTCTTTACCAAACATTTACAATAATCTTTTTCAGGTTGTACCCTGTTGATATGAAGAGAGTTAATGAATTTGGTGTGTCTTATGATGATGAAGATGGAGAAACAAAAAAGAAGAAATAATTTTTAAACAAAAGACTTAACAAATTAGCAACTCTTCTATTGTAAAACCAAAGACTTTAGTTTTTTTTAATTTGTAAAAAACTTGACCTCATGACAATGGAAAAACTTTATTTCTGTAGGGGATAAAAGTATGATGGCCATAGTTTAGTTAATATTTCAGAGAACGATTATAATCATTTCCTCTAGAAAGTATTGTACTTTGGAGGACATCACATGGATTGAGAAAAAAATTAGAGTAAAATAGAAGAAAAGAAATTTTGAAAGATAGTTTGGCACAAATAATAATTAAAATGAAAGTATTAGTTTGAAAATAGTGGGATTGATTGATTTTTGTTTGTTAAGATTTAATGTCACTTATTACGCATTTATACAATTTCATGACAATGGAATTTTATTTGAGTAGGAAAGCATGCCCAGGGTTTACCACAAACAGTCAGCAGCAAGGGTCTGGCAGCTGTCATATTTGCTGTCATTACCCAAAAGTGGACTGAAAAAACTGAGATAGATATCTAAAACTTGGACATTGAGAATTATGAAAATGGCCTATTTAGTTATTTATACACCTGAATGTCATGTAAAGAACAAGCAAGTTATTGATGAAATCTTTCTCCAGTAATTAAACTGATATTAAGGGAGTATTCTGTAATTTACATTTCCTTCCTGTTTAACTGTGTATTACGTTAGGATTCCAGACACTTTACCTGTGCTTCAAACACTGCACAAGTCGGCAGGAAGATAAAAAATGATTTACCTTGCAGTTTGCTAAATTACAAGAAAATTTTAAACCATAATTAATAGTCTAAGTCAATGCTTTACTTGAAAGGTCATGTGATGTAACCTGCATTTTAGGCTGGAAATCGAACCAGTTTTAAATCAATGAGTAAAATTGTAAACATGTAGTTTTATTTTTCCTCCTACAAAAAGTTGTTAACTTAGACCAGAATATCAAAATATTTGTCAGTAAAATAATATCAATATATAAATGCAAGCTGTTGCATAACAAACAAAGATGTTATTCTCATCTATTGGTTTACTTTGACAACATTGCAGAGATTTATTTAAAGTGCAAATTTCCTGATGTCAATTAACATTGAATGCAGAGTGCTAAGCTTTTTAAAAATGACCAAAATTGTTTAAAGAACCTCAAGACTTTTGTTGAGCAAGTACTTCGCCTGCCTCATTACATATGGATTGCCACATCTATAAATAAGTTTGGCAAGTATCCAATAATGAAGAATTGAAAAGTTGAAATGATCTATGCCGATAGATATAGACCATCTAGGTAAATCACTTGGCCACTGAGGCTCATTTGGATTTATTGATATAGATGGTTGTTTATAAAAGCTTAATTCTGCTGTTTATTTGAAAGCTGAGTGAGCACAAGTTTTAAAATTAAATCTTTTACCTAAAACTGTTATTAAAATATTAAGTGTAACTTTGTTGTATTCTGGTTATTGTTTAATAAGTTTTAATTTTTTTATTCATGTTTTTTTAGTGTTAGTGTGTATATAAAGTAACCTTATTTGGTAAGGTTTATTGAAATTAGTTTCAATGCTTTGTTAATACAATATTTCAGGTTACATCAAATCAGCTGTATAATCTAATGTTTATATAAATGCTTTTCTACACAGGCAATATAAAATAGCAGTTATTGTCCATGAATGAATAACGACTGTACACTGACCCCTAGAAGTCTTTTGATATTTTGAGTTGTTGGGTTGCCATTTCATTGACATATACAACCTGTTATACATAATCGTGAGATACTTTAAAGTTCTAATCGTGAGAGAGAAATTTCCTCATAATATTTAATATTATTGTAGCTTTTATGAAATCTGTTAATATACATTTTTTAGTCTATAAATTTCTGGACACACTCTCTGATCAAAACAAAAGAAAGGGTTTGATAAGGCCACTCTTTTGCCCTTTGATGTGTTATAAACTATCAATTTACGTCCTTCAGATGTCCACAGGACATTAGGCTGTCAGATATAAGTATTTATATGATTGAATTCTGTCGTGCATATCTGCTTAAGGGCTTTCAAACTTTTGATACAAAACCTGAGATCCTTGTTCTGTAAATGATATTGTGTTGATGTTATATACAGTGTTATATTTGTTTATATTTACTTCAATTTCGAGCATCATCTTCTTTAGTGCATGCTTCGTCATCTGTAAATAAAAAACATATTACGCCTCATCGTGTATTGCAGGAGATGCTTACTGTACAAGTGAGAGGTTTAGCTAGCTATAAAACCAGGTTCAATCCACCATTTTCTACATATGAAAATGCCTGTACCAAGTCAGGAATATGACCGTTGTTATCCATTCGTTTGATGTGTTTGAAAATTTGATTTTGCCATTTGATTGGGGACTTTCCTTTTTGAATTTTCCTCGGAGTTCAGTATTTTTGTGATTTTACTTTTTACAGTACACACATCCACTCTCATCTTTCCGTTCCATGTTCATGTTATTTTTCAATTGGCTGGTATAGTCTAAATTGATTTACGAGTTTAGAATATTAGGAAACTCATCTTGTCTATAGTTGGTAACTTTACTGTTATGAGAATTAATTTATTGCTTTTGGTCAAATTTAGATTTGTTCCTTATTAAAAAGGGTCTGAATAGTAAGTTGTTACAGTTTCAAAAATAATGTCTGGTTTATTGATTTATTTGTTGAACAACTGTTTCAACCATTTTTTTCCTCATTTATAAGGAAACTTAATTTGAATTTCAATGAAAATTTTATAGTGATTTTAAAAAGATTTCCCTCTAAAATATATTCTATATAATTATGTCAATGTCAAAGTTTTTTAGTTGAAGAAATCTTATTGTTACCAATAATTTGTTCCAGATGGTCTTTAACTTTTGAAGTAAATCTAATGACCGGATGTCCTTGCTATAATTTGTTTACAGACAGGTTGTAATCCTTTAAATACATAGTGTGACTGATGTCATTGTCTACAAGTATATGTTATTTATGACAGTATTGTTGTATTGTCCAATAATATTAATCAATGATTGTTTATGGAAATAATATGTCATAATTATTATTATTGTTATGTCTCTATACTTTTAATTAGTGACCATGATGTTTTATTGATAAACGCTTTGTTCAACAAAGTGGAATTTCATTTTTCACCTGCACTATGGAGAGTGAGAAGAAAAGAAAGAATAGAGAGGAATGAATGTAGGAATGATAATGTTAAATATGCAGTTATGTTCATGAGTATTGTAATTACATGACAAATACAGCTTTTATGACTCCTTGAATTACATATTTGATAACAAACATCTCATGCCTGCAGGCCAATTGGTATTATTAAAAATATATTTAAATTGCTGAAGATGAATTATGTTTTTTCTATATGTAAAAGGGCAATTTTGGGTCAATTATGTCAGTTATGACATGTTAATGAGGTCATCATGACATTAAAGTAATCACACTAAATCATCTTTTTTAATTGTTTATAGAACTCTATAGTTATTTTGGAAAGAATTGAAGAAGAATTTACTATTGTATCATTTTTGGCCAAATATTGTTCTTGTCAAACCTGCTGTTAAAAGGTATTCCCAAGCACCAACATTATATTCAGTAAATCCTTTTTGGATGAGGACCACTTACTATTACTTACAAGTTTCTATAGCATGACATATTATGATATAGTAGACTCGGTGATGCATACATATTTTACACATTGTGACTTGGATGGAGAGTTGTCTCATTGGCACTCATACCACATCTTCTTATTTCTATATATGAAATACTGCTGTTATCTTCAGACAAATATTTTGTTTAATTTGTAAAAATATAGTTTTCTGCTACCTTGATTTGGAAAAAATACCATTTTAAAACAGAGCTTTAGAATACTATTTTTTACAATACATGAACATAGAAACAGGTCAATCAATTTTAGAATAAAAACCCAAATCTCCTCTTCAGAACAACTTGTGTTGTTTATTCATAGTGATATTAATATTTGACTATACAGATTTAGAGAAGGAAGATCACTTATATAATTATATTGGCAAAATACTGTTTTGTTTAATTCATTTTATAAATTTTCTTCTCTTTTTGCTCCACAAAAACAAAATATGACATCAACGTTAGATAAGAAGGAAATTGATCTCTTTTTTGGCAGTTTCGTAATTGACAGTAACAGGTCCTTGTGACCATAAAATGTGCAGCCAAATTCAAATCAAAAGTGACCTGCTTTTGTATTAAAGTCTGAGCCTATGGTGCATAACCTAACTTTGGGTAACCTTTCATACTAGAACATTTGCGAACAGAGTATCTGTCAAACAATATAAAAGAAAAAACCTGTTATTTTCTAACTGTAAGTGGTCCTTGACTAGTACTACAGGATGTAATGGTCAAATCAGTTTAAAGATATCATAGTTGGATAATTACTATGGACAAATTGTGAAAGGTCAGCAGTTTTCCATCAGACAATAGTTCCTTGAAATATTGTAGTTTCCAATCTTATAAAAACCAAACATTATCTTTATATACATTACTTATATAAATTGATTGATTTATTATTTGTGTTGAAGTTGAACCCCATTTTCAGCACTCTTGGGAACTTCATGGCAGTCATTTTTATTTTGTGGAGGAGGTTATTGTGCTTGGAGAGAACCAACAACCTTTGATAGGAAAACTGGCAATCCTAGTCAATTAAGATCAGAGTCTAATACACCTTGCCACATGCAGGATTCACAACATCAAGTGTTGACAAGCTAGTGATCACGTAGATGACTTACTTAGACTACTCAGCCACGAAGGCCACTACAATTCTACAATTGACAGATTAAGTGAATAAACATTTCCTTTATGATGTTAAATCGATTTCAGAATACATTGAAATACATAAATGCTGTCTCATTTTGGTTAAAAATACCATTAACCTTCTAATAAAGGAAGTCAATTCAGTCATTGTTAACTTTTTCATTGAATTTCCTGTCTTTTTGTAATGTTAATTTTGGTATAATGAAAAGTATGATACAAAAAGTTTTAAATATGACATACTTTCAAATAGGAAATATATACATTTTCTACAAGGAAATCTTAACCACTACAGTATAGAATCACTTTCTGGCATTTAATATCCTCCGTAACATCAGTTTTGTAATGAATTTTGTTTTGACTGTTAATGTAAAAAAAAATATGGAATAAAGACTTGTCTATTGTTGAAGACTGTTTGTTGACATCTCTAGATCTTTTTATGTCTTTGAAACACATATGGAATAAAGATTTGTCTATTTGTTAAAGACTGTTAGTTGAACTCCCTCTATATGTCTTTGAAAAAAAAATGAAATAAAGACTTGTCTCTTGTTAAAGACTGTTAGTTGAACTCCCTCTTTATTTCTTTGAAAAAAAATATGGAATGAAGACTTGTCTCTTGTTAAAGATTGTTAGTTGAACTCCCTCTATATTTCTTTGAAAAAAAATATGGAATGAAGACTTGTCTCTTGTTAAAGATTGTTAGTTGAACTCCCTCTATATGTCTTTGAAAAAAAATGAAATAAAGACTTGTCTCTTGTTAAAGACTGTTAGTTGAACTCCCTCTTTATTTCTTTGGAAAAAAATATGGAATGAAGACTTGTCTCTTGTTAAAGATTGTTAGTTGAACTCCCTCTATATTTCTTTGAAAAAAAATATGGAATGAAGATAAAATTGAGAATGGAAATGGGGAATGTGTCAAAGAGACAACAACCCGACCATAGAACAGACAACAGCAGAAGGTCACCAACAGGTCTTCAATGCAGCGAGAAATTCCCGCACCCGGAGGCGTCCTTCAGCTGGCCCCTAAACAAATATATATACTAGTTCAGTGATAATGAACGCCATACTAAACTCCAAATTGTACACAAGAAACTAAAATTAAAAATAATACAAGACTAACAAAGGCTAGAGGCTCCTGACTTGGGACAGGCGCAAAAATGCGGCGGGGTTAAACATGTTTATGAGATCTCAACCCTCCCCCTATACCTCTAGCCAATGTAGAAAAGTAAACGCATAACAATACGCACATTAAAATTCAGTTCAAGAGAAGTCCGAGTCTGATGTCAGAAGATGTAACCAAAGAAAATAAACAAAATGACAATAATACATAAATAACAACAGACTACTAGCAGTTAACTGACATGCCAGCTCCAGACTTCAATTAAACTGATTGAAAGATTATGTCGTCATCATATGAATATCAGGCACAATCCTTCCCGTTAGGGGTTTAGTATCATACCATCATAACATATATGAGAAGAACATAACCCGTGTCATGCCAACAACTGGTTTTTAAATAAATGTGTTTAGTGCCGATGCAAAGACCCTATAAGTGAATCAATATTAACGCCAAAATATGCAATCTTTAATGACCTGACAACAGTATCGTAACTATATCCCTTCTTAATAAGTCTATTTAAAGACTTATCTCTTGTTAAAGATTGTTAGTTGAACTCCCTCTATATGTCTTTGAAAAAAAATGAAATAAAGACTTGTCTCTTGTTAAAGACTGTTAGTTGAACTCCCTCTTTGTTTCTTTGAAAAACAATATGGAATGAAGACTTGTCTCTTGTTAAAGACTGTTAGTTGAACTCCCTCTATATTTCTTTGAAAAACAAAATGGAATAAAGACTTGTCTCTTGTTAAAGACTATTAGTTGAACTCTCAATATGTCTTTGAAAAACAAAATGGAATAAAGACTTGTCTCTTGTTAAAGACTGTTAGTTGAACTCCCTCTTTATTTCTTTGAAAAACAATATGGAATGAAGACTTGTCTCTTGTTAAAGACTGTTAGTTGAAATCCCTCTATATTTCTTTGAAAAACAAAATGGAATAAAGACTTGTCTCTTGTTAAAGACTGTTAGTTGAACTCTCTCAATATGCATTTGAAAAAGAAAATGGAATAAAGACTTGTCTCTTGTTAAAGACTGTTAGTTGAACTCTCTCAATATGTCTTTGAAAAACAAAATTGAATAAAGACTTGTCTCTTGTTAAAGACTGTTAGTTGAACTCCCTCTTTATTTCTTTGAAAAACAATATGGAATGAAGACTTGTCTATTGTTGAAGACAGTTAGTTGAACTCCCTCTATATGTCTGAAAAAAATATGGAATAAAGACTTGTCTATTGTTAAAGACTGTTAGTTGAACTCCCTCTATATGTCTGAAAAAAATATGGAATAAAGACTTGTCTCTTGTTAAAGATTGTGAACTCCCTCTATATGTCTGAAAAAAATATGGAATAAAGACTCGTCTCTTGTTAAAGACTCTTAGTTGAACTCCCTCTATATGTCTGAAAAAAATATGGAATAAAGACTTGTCTCTTGTTAAAGACTGTTAGTTGAACTCTCTCAATATGTCTTTGAAAAACAAAATGGAATAAAGACTTGTCTCTTGTTAAAGACTGTTATTTGAACTTCCTCTATATGTCTTTGAATAAAATATGGAATAAAGACTTGTCTATTTTTGAAGACAGATAGTTGAACTCCCCCTATATGTCTGAAAAAAATATGGAATAAAGACTTGTCTCTTGTTAAAGATTGTTAGTTGAACTCCCTCTATATGTCTGAAAAAAATATGGAATAAAGACTTGTCTCTTGTTAAAGACTGTTAGTTGAACTCCCGCTATATGTCTGATAAAAATATGGAATAAAGACTTGTCTCTTGTTAAAGATTATGAACTCCCTCTATATGTCTGAAAAAAATATGGAATAAAGACTTGTCTCTTGTTAAAGACTGTTATTTGAACTTCCTCTATATGTCTTTGAATAAAATATGGAATAAAGACTTGTCTATTTTTGAAGACAGATAGTTGTCTTTGGGTTGCTTTCTCATTGACTCACATCATCTTAGATTCAAACTCATAAACTCCATACCGTCAATCTGTGAAAATGAAAATACATGACCTGCATTGGGTAAAAAAATATCTGATCATATTGTGTACAAATTTTTTTCAGCTGAATTTTACATGTTTTGATATTATCTGAAAGGTAATTATTTTATTGTAAACAATATCAAACAATGCCATACTTTGTATTCATGTTACTGCAACAAACTAAAATGTTATTATGAATCCTTTTGTTCACAGTAGATTTGCAATTTCATGTACTGTTAAAATTGATGTTTATTTTACATCAGAAAATTCAAATTTTAAGGTAAATAAAGTATGCTGAAATGTTGTGCTTATATTTTAGTTGACTTGAATTCTTTGGCTTTTGATATATATGTACTAGAATATATCAACAGTTTGTCTGATATTGAAATTATAAGTTCACCTGACCTTTTGGGTCAGTGAGAGCTTATCTCATCGCTTGCTGTCCATCATCTCTTTTCTGTCTTCAGTTTAACAACAATCTTCATTTCTGAAGCTACCAGTCCAATTGCAGCTTGGCTACAATAATCCTAACAGTATCTAGTTTTGTCAACGGAATCTGCCAGCCAATCAACATAGCCACCATGGCTAAAAAAGAACATGAGGGTAAATTGCAAGTAGTGTCTACTATCTAGAAAACTGTTGTGAATAGATAAAATCTACTGAGGCAAAAATGTTCAGAAAGTCGAGATCTACCTTGTGTCTTTTTCGATTAAAATGGTCAGACGACTTCTTAAAAGACTTATTGCCCTTAAATGACCTTTTTTGTGTTTTGACCAGGATTTTGTAAGTATGGTGGGCAAGTGGCTGCCATCGGTTTCTGTGCAATAAGTTATGAACCGTTAAAGTAACGCTTTTCAAATTTTGTTATGTTGTTATTGATGACAAAATTGATGTCAGTTTTGGTATTGACGATTGATACATTGGAAAATGGCACTTTATGTTGTTTCTGTGCAATACTTTATGAACCGTTCAACCAATGCTTTTCAAATTTTAATATGTTGTTTTAATATGTTGTTACTGATTAGAAAAGTGGGGTTCAAGTTTGATATAAACGATTTTCATTTTTGCCGTTTAGAACAAATGATCGTTGATAGACTGAAAAATAGGCAGAGAACGTGGCAGGTCAAACAATCTTGAAAGCCTCATACATCAAAGACTTCTAGATCAATGTCCTTTTAAGTTTCAACATAAATACTGGGGGGTCAAGGACCTTGTTTTTTCGTTATAATACATTGAAATTAACCAAATCGCAGTTATTTTATATGGGTTATATAGTGGAAACTTATTTTTTCCTATTGAGGAAACATTAAACAACAGATTTGGTTAAAATTCAATGAAAGAACTGCTTTTCATAATACTTCCAAAATATCAAATAAGAATAGGGGGTCACAGCCACAGGCCCTATATTTTTGAAAAATCAAAAAAACACATATTGTCCGGATTTTTTTCTGAAAATTTTAAATGCACTTCACAACACTTAATTTTTTTTTTATAGTTTAATCTTTAAATTTCAAGTGTTAGATGTTTCTGTTGTATATTTAATGCTACTTGATAAAATATTATTGAACCAAAAAGTATTTTTACAACATGTCCAAAAAGGCTGCACAGAAAAAGACACCCAGTCAACCTTAAGTACAACAATTGGTGGTTTCCTCCGAAATACCGAAAACCCGGTTTGCTGTCAATTTGGCCGCTCATTTCTTGTTGGCTATTATCTTGAAAATTATAATTACTTTGAATGAAAACTGATCAGAAAGACAACAACTTCAAATGATAGGAGTTATTGCTGTTAATTGACGATTTTTACTGATTTTTGTGTTTTGGCTATTATCTTTGAAAACTATAATATATATATAGTGAAGCTTGAAAAGCAAAACATGATCAGCAAGACGAGATCTACTATTACATTTAATTAACATGACCACAATCGTGAGATGATTCCTTACAGGAGTAATTGTCCTTAATTGACAATGTTCACATTGTTTTGCGTTTCTCACTATTTACTTAAAACTATGATAAATAGAGAGACACTGTATAAAACATTCTCAGTCAGACAAGATCTACAAATAAGTCAACAATGGCAGAAAGCATTAGTCGACTCCTTATTGTGATTGTTGCCTATTAATGAGAATTTTACCCACCATCTTTCCTTTTCTGGATGAAATTTGATGGAGAGAAACACGTGACTTAAATCATCAGTCGAATCTTTACACGAATTATTGGCACTTAATTTTACGGACGCCATCACGAGTTGGTTGACCGTTATGGAATATCCGTTTCACAGATGACAGCGGATATGTTCCAATTGTCGTAACTACAATCCCGTCCCCCTTTCCCCGAATGTGACCTACCGAATTAAGACTTATTACGGTGTTTGTACTAACATGAGCAACACGACGGGTGCCACACGTGGCGCAGGATCTGGATACCCTTCCGGAGCACCTGAGATCACCCCCAGTTTTTGGTGGGGTTCGTGTTGCTCAGTCTTTAGTTTTCTATGTTGTGTTTTGTGTACTGTTGTTTGTCTGTTTGTCTTTTTTCTTTTTTTAGCCATGGCGTTGTCAGTTTATTTTCTACTTATGAGTTTGAATGTCCCTTTGATATCTTTCGCCTCTCTTTTTAAATGACGAATGTTTACCCATTTCTTGTTTACTGCTATAATCTTGAAAGCTTTAATAGGTAGAGAAAATTTTAACAGCAATAATAATCAAATATACAAATAAGTCAACATGGCTGAAATCAGTAGTCGATTCCTAATTTAAATTATTGGCCTTCAAAAACGATTTTTATCATTTCTTTTTTGCGTTTTTGGAGACCGATATGAATATCTTCATAAACATAAAACAAGACGAATATATACTGAAGAAATCTTGACTCTCGACAGGTTCAAATACCTGATTGGTACCGTATCTCACTTTTATCTCAAACAATGGAAGAACAAATCACATTTGTGGAAACACGATAAGACTTAAACCAGAGATGCACATAATTCGATTCTTACAGTATTATAGGGCACAATTAACTTAAACGATTCTATATATCAAAGAACGGTCTCAATTACTTAAGCCAACTTTATATAATGTCTTTCTACAGTCGGCTATTATATTTCACACAGCAATGCAATGAAAAACCAGGCGTAAACTTAGGTGTTATGGAAAGGTAAGCAGCCTCCTTGTCCTCGTACCCAATGACAAGTTAATGAAGAATAGTGATGGCAATATGACTTCCACAAAACGGAACACATCCGTGTTCCTCTGTGACGGATATTCCATAACAGTCAACACATTCGTGATGATGTCCGTTAAGGAAGGATGCATTTAACTTGATCGTTCAAAGAGTCATTGTTTCAGTAGCTTCATTGTTAAAAGTAACTATATCAAGGAAATTTAATTAAAAAAAGACATTATGCTTTGCAATATTGTATCAAAAGGAAGATGAATATTCAATATGCATGTGTTGCTGGAATGCTGCTAGCTACGTAAGAACTGAAAGTCAGTTTAGAATGGGAAAATTAAATTAAAATCTACCTCGTATAAATAAAGGAACGAGAAGCAAAATAATCAGCCTCATATTTTCATATTTTCCTTGAAATTACTGCCGGTGGGCAAATGAAAACTGTAACAGGTAGTGTTTATTAGTAACGCAATAACTTCAGTTTTCTTATTGTCAACTTCCCATTTTTAATTAGTAACTGAACATGTATAAACAACAAAACTTTTTGTTTTGGTTGTTTTTGTGGGATTCCAATGGGTTATTAAATTTGACCTACTAATTGAAGGTTGATAGAACTGTAATACTTTACAAGGAGCTAAGAGTTGTCTGATCATGATTTATACTCACAAATAATTAGAAAAAATAAAACACATTAATAGATAATAGGCCATTTATTTTAAATAATAATTATTTTCTGTTCATTTTTATTTTGGTCTTTGCTAGTACAAAAATGTTGGTAGTCTACATTTTTTTCATTTGTACCCACCAACAAGGAATAATTTTAAACTATGAATATTAACATTCTTGCTATCACATCTCCTGATTATTACACTATCAAAATCCTTCATTCGTAATTTGTACCTACCACCAAGGATTTATATTATACATTATTCATTTTATTATTACATATCTTTTATTAATTATAAAACCAATTATATATTCTTTTTAATTCACCATCAACTATCATGCAAAATAAAATTCACAACAAAATAAATATCATTTGCAATGTGTTTTAGAAAGTAAAATATTTTTAATATAAGAGTATAAACAAACAATGTATCAATTGTAAACTTCCTTCCTAATAAAATCACCATATATATAGACGTAAACAATTTAATTACCTATAGAATTATTACTTATATAATGTTTTTTAGTTTTATGGTTGTACGGGAAACCCTGAGGATGTGCTTTTACATTGTCATAATTAATTGTAATTTTTAACTTAATTGTTTCCTTGGTTAACTATCAATGACGAACGATCATCTCCTTTGTTTCCAAATCAATCAGTATACAGCTTGTACACAATATTAACTTTGACATTTCCTCTTTTATGAGATGTAGTTCCTCTCCACCCACAATTATCCTGCAATAGCTTTTTTTTCTACAAGTGGAAATAATCTAAAGTTTAAATTAAGTCTGAAACTAGATTGATTGATTTATTTTGGGCGGAAGAAAACAAAATTTGTCACGGAATATTCAAATACAGCTTAAATTGCCCATTTTCTCGCTAATTAACTTTGCTAAATTTTATTTTCACTTTTGTACACATTTATTTACTGCATTTTGTTGGTACAACTATTTATTTTCATCCTGATTTTGGCGAGGTTTTTTCCGTCGGTACAGGCAAGAATATTAACCCCATTCCACCGAATATCAAATGGTCCTCCCGTAACGCCACTATCACCGTGGGGTATATCATGTTTCATGGTTCCACGAAACGAAAAACTAACTATTTTTCTGTATCCATGTTTTATTTTTGCTAGTTTTGATTCTATTACTAATTCAATGATAATAATTACAATTGTGGTTGCTTCAATCATTGAAGTATCATATTGACAATCTATATTGAACATCTTCCATGCTCCAATAGAGATTACTCTTATTTCGTAACAAGTAGTTTTCTTCTCCCTAGACCCCCGTATCTCAGTTATAGCTCTATTCTTATGTTTTTATTATCCGCGCCAAATAAATATTTCAGGAGGTCCTTACTACAATTTTCTACTAAATCCTCGCCTCTTGTTATCCATTTGTTAACTATCTGTTTATACATTTTTGTAATGAACTGTTTTGAAAGTATCGTTGTTTTT